GTCCCATCTCAAAATAAAGGAGTGTTTAGAAGAGCTGGAGAGACAGCTCCTTGCAAAGCACTTGCCACACATGTGCAACCCGCTGGGCTCAATCCCCAGGACCGCCGAAATAATGATGATAAAGAATAATAATAATGATAAACAAACACATAAGGGGCTGGGGATTTAGCTCAGCGGCAAAAGCGCCTGCCTGGCAAGCGCAAGGTCGTGAGTTCGGTTCCCGGTACCGGAGAAAAACCAAAACCAAAAAAAAAAAAAAACAACAAAACAAAACAAAACAAAACAAAAAAACAAACACATAAATAGCATAGGAGAAAAACTGCTTTGTGGGAATGGGACAACCAAAACCCTCAAAGTCAATGGCACAGGAAAGAATAACACTGTGCAGCAGACAAAATTTGAAACCAAACTGTTACGAAATTTTTAAAAATCATCTGTATAAAATTCAATTCCATAAAACAAAAGTACAAAGTAGAAATATGAGAGTTCAGGAAAAATAAAAACATGAACATGACCACATGTGGTGTTGCATGCCTGTAATCCCAGAAACTTGGAAGGCGGGGCAACAGGATCACAAATTCCAGGCCAGCCTGGGAAACTTAGCAAGATCCTGTTTCAAAACAAAAAATAAAGGACGGCAGGTGTAGCTCAGTGGTAGAATGCGTGCCCAGCATATGCGAGGCCCTATGTTCAATCCTCGGTACTGGAAAAGATAAAAGGAAAAACAGGCTAGCTTTAGACTTCACAAATATTTCCTGCTAGGAAGCAGCAGAACGATCCTACAAATTAAAAAAATAAGAGTATTATACAATAATTGTACAGAGTTGACACTAGTCAATTTAAATTGGAAGTAAGAAGTAAGCAGAAAAACATTCTCTTTTTTTTTGTTTTTACTTTATGCATGCCAGGAGCTTTGTGTGATGTTTATTTTTTCCTCCAAAGCATCCAGTTCATTTTGGTACCGTGGTTATAGTCTTATCCTTCAGCCCACTTTCTACTACCATTGTTTAACATCTGGGAAAATAACTTCAATTATTTTCTTCCCTTTTAATGTTCAAGTTTACTTACTGAACTGGGGGTGATGGCACAGGCCTGTAATCCCAGCACTCAGGAGGCTGAGGCAGGATCACTGCAAATTCGACACTAGGCTGGGCTACATAGTGAGTTCAAGGCCAGCCTGGATTACATAGCAAGACACTGTCTCAAAAAATAAAGTTTATTTATATTTATTTGTTCCTAGTTGGGAGTATTTTCACATAGAACAAAATTCAAAAGGTACAAAAGCCAATCTCTTTTCCACTAATGTCCCTCAGTTCCTCTTTTCAAAGGATAACTGTTAAAAGTTTCTTTCATATCCTTTCTTCAAAGATTACTTGTTCTACACAATATATATGTGTATATATGTATATGCAAGGAAATCTATATATGCACTATACAGATTATATATGCTTAGTACATATATAAAATATCTACACATACATGTGTACAAACACACATATATAGATTTCTTTTTATGCAAATGGTAATATATTGTGCACTTTGTTCTATGCCTTGCTTTTTCCTACTTACAGTATCAGGATGTCTTGAGTTCAGTGGTATGGGGATAAGATTTAACAAGCATCTATCTTGCCTCCTTTTTTATTGTTGTCTTGTTTTTGTTTGGAGACAGGGTTACACTATGTAGTTCAGGCTGGCCTTGAAATCATTATGTAACCCAAGCTGGCCTTGAACTGGCATACATCCCCCTGCCTCGGCCTCCTGAGTGCTGGGATTTGCAGGCGTGTGCCACTACACTTGGCTCCCTTGCCCCTTTGTAACCTATTTTCCACATAAATAGCTGAACGGTTCTTCTCAACAGTTGATCATAAAAGCCCTTTCCTGGCTTCTCACCTGAAGTGTTCTGTAAGGCCCCCAGGGACCTGGCCCCAAGTCTATTCTTTACCTCACTTCCTACAACACTTACCCAATCATTCTGCTCAAACGACCAACCCGTTTTCCTTTGTGCTTGCTTTGTATAGGTTCTGCCTCCAGCTGATGCAGGATTCTCTCCTTCCCTTCATTCTCCTGCTTAAATAGGACTACTCTGAGTGGTCTCTCTGACACAGCAACCCCATCCTCCCTGTTCTTCTTCACAATAGTAATAGCTTGCAGTTACTGTGTTTGCTATATACCAGGCATGGAGGGGGGTGCTTTCTGTATTTTAATTCACTTAATCCTTATCTAAACTCTTATTAGTACATGTCTGTCACACATAATGATGGACATTCACCACAGGGAATCTATACTTGTCCATAATATATCTTAATTTTTTTTTCCCATTCCCCTCCCTTCAACCCTTTCCCCCTCCTGATTTACAAAAGCTTTGTTTCCATTTTTTCCTTCAAATCTCTTTTCTAAAAGAAATCCCTTTTCCCTTCCTTCCCTCCCTCTCCCCCTCTCTTGTTCCCCTTCCCATCTGAACATGTTTTTTCTACTTCCTGATGTCTGTCCTCCATGTTGCTCCTCATTTACCCTTTGGGTTTCGCAACAAGAGGAACAATGTAATGTTTAAACTTGTGTGTCTGATTTATTTCATTTAAAATTATAGTCCTAAGATGCATCCATTCACCTAGAAATGTCTCAAATTTATCCTTCTTTATGGCAGAATAGTACTCCATTGTGTATAAATACCACATTTTCTTTATCCATTCATCTGCTGATGGGCATATAGGCTGTTTACAAGATTTAGCTGTTATAAACTGTGCTGCTATAAACATAGGTATGCATATACCACTGCGGTATGATGCTTTTAACCCTTTTATGAAGATACCTAGAAGAGGAATAACTAGGTCAAATGGACCCTCTAGTTTTAGTGTTTTTGAGGAATCTCCATAGTGATTTCCATAGTGGTCGTACCAATTTATACTCCTGCCAGCAATGAAGAAGGGTTCCTTTTCCTCTACAGCTTTACCAGCATTTTAGACCCATCTCTCTCCCATGCACTAAACTACAATGGAAATGTCTCAAAGATCTAAACAGTAAAACGGAAACATTTAATCTTCTGGAAGATGAATGGGTAAAACTCTTAAAGACATAGGTGTAGGCAAAGACTTTATGAACAAAACACCAACTGTACAGGAACTAACCAAGCATCGACAATTGGGATCTCATCTTATTCAAAAGCTTTCTCACAGCAGAAATCACCAGCAGAGTAAAAAGACAAAAAAAATTGCCAGCTGTTCCTCAAAGGACTAATATCTAGAATATATTTTTAAAAAGTAAAAAAAAAATCAGACCTCCCAAATTTAAGGACCCAATCCAAAAGTGGGCAACTGAAATTAATATACTCTTCTCGGATGAAGAAGTACAAATGGCTAATAAATACTGTATATGAAAAAAAACCTTCAACATCACTGGCCATTCAAGAAGTTAAATTAAAACAACACTGAGATTCCATCTCACGCCAGAAAGAATGTCTGTCATCAAGAAATGAACCAATAACAAATACATAAACTCTCTGAAGTAGATATTACTATTATCCCTACTTTATAGATGTACAAATTGAATCATATGAGTGTTTATGTAATTTCCCCAAGGTTACACAGCTCATAAGTCTCAGAACCAGGATAAAAACCCAAACAGTTTAGTTCCAAAGCCAAATTTTATATGGTCCCTCATCTGTTATTTTTTTTTTCTCATCTGCTATTTTAAAAAATTACTGGGTTTGTTTTTGTTTGTTTGTTTGTTTGTTTGTGTGTTTTTGCTGTGCTGGGAATGGAACCAGGGTCTTATTATGGTAGACTGTAGTCTCAAGTATGTTAGGCAGGTATTCTACCAGTGAGGTGTACCCTAGCCCCAAATCAAATTTAATTGATAAAAACTGTGTGTATTTATCATGTACAACGTGTGACTTTGAAATACGTATACACTGTGGAATAACTAAGTGAGCTACTTAACATATACATTTTCTCACTTATCATTGTGTGTGTATGTATGTGTAACATAAGAGCATGTAAAATCTACTCTGTGATTTTCAAAATCTACTAAATTTTTTTTTTTTGAGGCAAGGTCTTGCTATGTAATTCAGGTTGGCCTTGAGTTCACTATGGAGCTCGGGCTGGCCTGGAACTTACGGCAGTCCTCCTCCTGCAGCATACAGAGTGCTGGGATTCCAGACATGCAACACTATGCCTGGCTACTAATGACACAGAAGGCCAGGCATGGCAGCACACACTTCAGGAGGCTGAGGCAGCATACCTCAAGAGGCTGAGGCAGAAGGATTGCAAGTTCAGGCTGGCCTGGCAGTTTAACAATACCCTGTATCAAAATGAAATGCCAAAAAGGGCTGAAGATATATCGCAGTACTCCTTGGGTTTAATCCCCACTGCAACAAACAAACCAATAAAACATTCCACATTGTTATTAACTATAGTCACCTTGGAGTACAATAGAATGCTTCTTCTCATCTATTGTTAACACAAATTATACTGTCCTTGACTTTCTTTCTTTCTTTCTTTTGCCTTTTTGAGACAAAATCTCACTATGCAGTTCAGGCTGGCCTTGAGCTCACTTTGTAGCCCAGGCTGGTCTCGAACTCACAACCATCCTCCTGCCTCAGCCTCCTGAGTGCTGGGATTATAGGCATGTACCACCACGCCCAGCCTCTGCTTTATGTTTTAATGTAACACTTATTACTCTCCTGTATATACACTCTATATCAGACTTTAAATTATATATCTACTTGTTCATTTTTCTCTGTCATCCATACTGATTATAAGATCTCTGAGAGCAGGATTCAACTTATTTTCTTCACTGCTGTGTATTATACGACTTATACACCTTATACACCAAAACAGTACCAACATACAACAGGGGGCTTAGGAAATATTTCTTGAATATATGAATGGACATCTAGACTTGCAGAGCTATCCATACTTTTTTCCAATATGGAAGCCCACATATAAACTGAAAAGTAGGAGATGATATGTTTTTAAGAGTGAATAAAGAAAGATGAATCTTACCCTTTTCCCATTACATTATCACCAACACAGACACATAAACCTGGAAGAAAAGAGAAGAAAACAACAGGAAAGATGTTACAGACAATAAAGAGTATGTAGCTTTTCTGTGACAAGATATAAACTACTCAATCTGAGCTATCTACAGATAGGGAGGGGAAAAGAACAGCAGAATTACACATAAAGTGATGGTTCAGTAACGTTCTTCCTTTGGAAAACACATCTTAAGTCAGCTTTGAATAAAGGAAATAAATGAATTTAACTGGCATGTGGAAGGTGGGAAGAAAAAAAACTAACATACATTTTTCTGGACCTAAATGGAAAAAAAAAAAACAAAACTAGTGGGAAACACTACAATGGAAAAAAACATAGACAGGCAGATGTCATCCAATCAATTTTTTTCCTTTAAAAATTTTATTAGTGCATGTTCGCAGTTCATAATGATTACAGTCGCCTTGGGGAGCTGGTACATGTGCATAACACATCATCCAGTGGAATTTCAAGGCTAGAAAAAAATGTTACTTCCTTTCCTCTGTGTGTGTGTGTGTGTGTGTGTGTGTGTGTGTGTGTGTGTGTTTGCACTTCTGGGGATGGAATCCAGGTCTTCAGACGTGTTAGGCAGGTACTTGACTTCTGAACTGTGCACTGGTCCCTATTTCCTTACCTTCTAGTCTAGCCAGGTTGACTCAGAGTACTTCCCTGCAAACAGTTAAACAGGCTTTAGTGGTCACCGGAAGGATTGTGACAGAGGAGACTATGAGAATGTCTACAGGTTTATTGGCTTCATTTCCTTCTGCCTATAAAAAAATCAAAATAAAACTTGCTTTTAATACAAGCAGGACCAAATGTCCTGCTTAAAAGGTGGGCCAGCCCTAGATATTGACTAGAATCTGAGTTTTGGGACAATTATACTTCTTGTGTTTCAGGATGGAAAGTGAGGAGAAAAAAACTTTCGTAACAGTAAATTATAAATAAATTTCCTAGAAATTTTTATGGGATCCTTACTAACATTCATATCCAAGGAAAGCCTCCATGTTAGGGACAAGGTAAGCGGGGAAAGGACCTCTTTACAGAAAGAATGTGGAAACCACTGGATACCACACTTATCCACTGGCTAAACAAAAAACTATAAAACCTATAAATTAAAACTCTGGGTGGGAGAGTTTGCCTTTCACCCTTGACTGTTTCTCTTCTCTTGCCTGTTTTATGGCTTGAGGCCTCACTTCCCTCCTAACACTTTGCTCAGGTCTCTCTGATGGGCTAAATTAGTGGCAGTTTCCTTACTTGTTGTGTGACCCTGGGCAGCTCACAAGCTCCTAGAGTCTATTCTCTCATCTATAAAATGGAAATCATACTAATGACCTCACAAGGCTCAGGTGAGGATGGAGTGAGGTAACATGTGAAGGATGCTTTTCATGTGTAGAAATAAAATGACACACAAAGTTCTTACTTTTTTTAACTCATCAAGACCCCGATCAATCTGGGTATCATGGTCATGTGCACTGCTATAATCCTGGCACTCAGCAGGCTGAGGTAGGAGGATTCTGGGAGCTGGAGGCCATCCTGTACTGCATAGTGAGCTCAAGGCCAGCCTGAACTACATTGTGAAACCCTGTTTCAAATGCCCCCCCCCAAAAAACCCCACAGCGATGTCCTCTTAGACTTTACTGAGAAACCCCCACATGCTCTTAAAGCTCCACTTCTCTCCTTATGGTGATAGGGACTAAACTCAGGGCCATGTGCCTGCTAGGCATTCTCCCACCGAGCCACATCCCCAGCCCTTGGAGTCCGCTTTTATTCTGGAGCCTGTGTTTCCTCAAGGGCAGCATTTCTACAGTTGCCCCCTCCCTTCAGCTCACCCCCTCTGGTGCCCTAGTACGCCTTTCCTTCTGCCTTCCAGGTCCTAACGCTTCCTCCTGTCCCTGCGTGCGCTCTCCAGTACCGCCTGCTCTGCTCCCCTGCACTGAAAGCTTCTGGAGGGAGCTGACTGTTTTGCTATTTTACTTCCTCTTCTGTCTCCAACCCTCTTCGATCTGATTTATATCTCTACCACATCAAAGAACCAACCCGTGCCACAGCTGCCTCCACCAGACTAAATCCAAAGGCCATTCTTCAAGCACCTGAGACATGTGTACTCTTGGTGTCAATGGCATCCTTTTTCACTGGAGTTTCTTCTACGAACATCAATCAGCACTGCAAGCTCACTCACTTCTAACCTCTAAACACGGAGTCCCATAGCTTGTCTCATCCCTCCTGCCCCTCTTCCTCCCTCTGCACTCCCCTTTCTTTTTCTCCTCATTCACCTCTCTTTTCCATGCTGAGAACTGAACCCAGGGCCTTGTGTGGGCTACACCCATGCCCCACGCTGGGTTGCACTCCCAGAACTCCTCTCTTATCTGATCTCCTTGGGTCTCTTCTATATATGATGATAACCCTTCCGTTTACGTCTTGAAAGCAATTTCTGTCCTGAGCTCCAGAATTACGTACTCAATTGCCCACTAGACACTGCCATTGGCCTTTCTGACAGGCACCTCAAACTTAAACTCAAACAGAAGCACGGAGCCCTCTTCTTTCTCCAAACCAGCTCCTCCCCATAGAGTTTCCATGCGCATAACACCACTGCACACACCAACTTGCTCAGGCACAGTGCCTAGAGTAATCTTTGAGTCCCTTTCCCCTGCACACCTCAGTCCAATCCATTAGCAACTGCTGTTAGCTCTGCCTTCTGAATAGGTCTGCAGCCTGATCCCCTCTTAGCCACTTTCATTGTTGTCACCTAGTCCCTGCTATGATCCCCCTACCCTTTCTTCATGGCACTGGGGGTTGAACACCTAACTTTTATACTTAGCTATATCTCTAGACCTTTGTATATAATTTTTTCTTTTTCAGATATTAAGTTGCCCAGGCTGGGCTTAAACTTGTGATTGTTCTGCCTCAACCTCCCACAGTGCTGGGATTACGGGTCTGCATCCCCATGCCCAGCTCCTGCATGACTTTCTCTCACCAGGACTATTACATCCATCTTTGGAATAGCCGCTCCATTACTGCCCCACTACAATCCTTTCCACACAGCAATTAGTGTGATCTTTTAAATCGTAAGTTAGATCATACCATTCTGCTCCTTGAAACCTCCACTGGCTTCCTATTATACTTGCACTATAAACCAGCCTCTCTGCCTTTGGCTCTACTCTCCTCCCTCTCTGACCTCCTCTCAGTCCTTCTCCTTCTGTGACAGCAGCAAAATTCTGTGTCTTGTTCACCACTGTATCCCCAGTGTTTAGTACAAGGCCTACCTCACAGTAGATATTGAGGAAATTGTTGTTAAATAAACAGATGTGGGAATGGGTATATTGTGTTGCTACTGAAATCTGGTGCTACAAGGCATACACAAGGTGCTAGTTCACTGTTGTGTTAAGTCTGTTTTCTTTTGATATAACAAAATACCTGAAGATACATACTTTATAAAGAAAAAAAGGTTTATTTAAACTCACAGTTCTGGAGGTTCCAGAGCACAGCACAGGCTTCTGCACAGCCCTAGTGAAGACCTCTTGGCAGATGCATCACAATGGTGGGAGCACGTGCAAGAGTGGTAAGCGATGCAAACAGAAAAGGGATCAGGGCCATCACACTCTCGTAACAATCCGTCCCTTCAGGAATTAATGCAGTCCCACAATACACCCATGAGTCCCTACCCAGGGTGGTGGCCTGTGACGTGATTACTTCCATGAGGCCCCACTTGCCACCTCTTAAAGGTTCTACTACCTCAGCACCACCATACTAGAGACCCAGTCTCCAGCACATGAACCTCTGGGGAGCAAACCATCTCCAGACGCTAGCAACTGGTGACTCAGATTCTTGCCCAGCGTGGGCGGGTCTTCAAGGATGACCAAGTACTGTTTACTTCCTCCATTTTTGGTTTGACCAAGTACACTCCCTCCATTCTTCGCTCACTGTTTCTTGCTTGGGCTTCTGTTGTACAATTCTTAATGCTCTGTTCTTCCAGTTCTTGTAAGTACCCATCTCCTAGGGTGCTAGCTGGACCCAGAAGGATTGTGGCAGAAGTTCTTTCAACTCCACTGTTCCATGGCCCCCTCACATCACTGGAGAAGGAAGATGCTCTTGGTGACTTGCTGAGTGTTGGGCAATTTCCTATGGAGGGGGGCGGAGGAAGAGTGCACACAAGTTAAATTTCTCTGAAGTCATCCTCCTTCTGGAACAGTGATTTATTAACTTCTTCATTTAATAAATGTTCACTGGTTGCCAGCTACATGCCAGGCATTCTTCTATGCATATTATGCTAACACTGCTGATTGTGCTGTCTTCTTTACCATGAGTCTGTATTAGACTGTGAATTTCTTAAGGGCAGAGACAACCTTTGTACTGTAACAAATGCTCAATAAATGTCTTCTGCCTAAATAATTGAAAGAAAGAGTTAATGAAAGATGCTGAAGATTAGGCCCCTTTACACTGGCATTCAAACAAATACAAAGAACAAGGATTGCTCTTTAAATGGTACAGTCATTACACTAAAATGAATTTTAAAAGTTTAACAGTTGTCTTAATGTCACCACCCTACCATATTTCAAAATTTTTCCGTGTTTTCTTTTTCTATTTACATGCATATTTTTAATATTTTTTCATGTCATTTTTTCCTTTTAACACTGACAAATGTTTCTTCATATTTTTACCCTACTATCTTTCTGACTCTCTGTAATTTGGGAATTTCTCTGTTCTTTTTGAAAACCTAATTGGGTTCCCTTTGGTCACTAGCAGTGTAAACCCCTGAAAAACCTGTCAGGTGTTTTTGTGCCTCTTCCACAAACAGCATAGCAAAGGAGCCCTTGAAGAAGTGAATCTCATGCCTAAGAAAGGGACGGTGCCACACCAGGGAGCAGGCTGCCAATGCCAGGTGCACTCAGGAGAGAAGAAAGGTGAGCCTGAGCTGCGTGGAATTGAGGGGGTGTGTGCAGAGTTCCATTCTTTCTTGAACCTCTCCTAGCTGCCCGCCTGCCTGCCATCTGCTAAGCTTTTGCTTTTCTTTCTGTTTTGCATAAAGGCTTAACTTTCAATATGCTGCTGTCAAGTGAGGAAAAACTTGCAGACTTCTCAGATCTGCCCGTTTTTCTTTCGCCTTTTAATTTCCTCTGCCACTTACTATTGTTAAGTACAAGGTGAGTACGGAGAAGGACTACTGTACCTGACTACCGTATGCCGCCTTTTGAAGAAATCAGCAGGAAATGGGAGCAGTTCCTGGAAGCTTCTCCTCTACCGCTCTCATCCTGGGAAGAAGTGCAGTACATCTGCAAAATGATATCGAAGACTCTTTTGCAATGGCAGTAGTTCTCAATGCATTTATGAGGAAACGGCCGTTGGGACTAAATGTTGGTTCATGGGCTTTGAGCTGTGAATGCAGAATTGAGCTGTGAACTCAGAGCTGGAAATAGAAAATCGTATTCAGGAATTGAAAGGTGGAAGTGCTCTGGGTTCCTTGCCTGAGAGACGGGACTCTTAGATATTGGAGATAGGCCATATTTTGTAAACCAAAGAATCTAGATTTAGGTTATTTTGTGTAAATTTTCCCTCTCTTATTTGTTACCACTCATTGCTTTAACTCTCCAAAAATGCCTTGGGTTACAACACACATGCTTGGGTCAGAGTTTAACCCGGAGCAACTGTATCCCTTGGAAGCTGACTTGTTGAAGCAGGTGTAGTTACAGACATATCCTAAATGGAAGACAAACTGGTGGTGGGGACACCCTAAAATGAAAAACCAAATTGTTTAGGAGCCACATCTAAAAGGAGGTCTCTACTGGGGCAAATCTTGAGTATTTTTTGAATTTAATTTTTATTACAAAAGATATCCTATGCTTTAAGAAATCTGCTCAAGCCCAAAATAATTCATTGGAAAATAAAATTTTCTCACTCTACTTGAGAAAATTAAATCAAGTAGGACTTAAATTAATGACATCTTTGATAAGCTCTAGGATCTAGCACCTATGAGAACATGCTAAAAGAATGGGGTTATTGCATACCTAAGGACTCACCCACCTCAACATTTCTCATTTATTTATTCAATGAACATTTGCTGAGTGACTATTAGATGACAGGTATTACAAGCAATGAGCTATCTATGTTATCTATGCCAGTTTCTAATAGTTTCAGAGTATTTGGGTAAATAAGGGCTAAATGTCTATGGCACAGATACTATAAGGCATATGACTGAATTATCTACTTAGAGCTTTATGTATGCTCTGCCAGAATATCTGTGCATCCCTGGAAACCTCACTTGAAATGACAGAAAGTGGCTGATATCACTTACATTCTTCTTCTTTTTGTTATTTTTTGAGACAAAGTCTCAATATGTAGTTCAGGCTGGCCTTGATCTCCCTGTGTAGTCCAGGTTGGCCTTGAACTCGTAGCAATCCTCCTGCCTCAGCCTTCCAAGGGCTGGGATTACAGGCATGTGCCACCATGCCCAGAACATTCTTCTTATATTATACCATCTTTTCTGGAATTTAGTCACTTTAACCACTCCTTATAAAGTTCCATAACTTAAAACACCAGTCAATTAGAACACATGGTGTTTTGGCCTGAACAAATCTTGCAAATATCTGAAATACACAGAATCATTATCTTCATGGCCAACTTACCCCTAACATTTATGGAACCAGAGGTAAGAACACAAACGGAGGCTGGTGTAGCATACAACTCCTGTACTATGCCAGTCAGTCTTATAACCAAAAACTGAAACACTGCCAGGAGAAAAAGCTATGCTCGGCATCACTGGGAAACAATACTGTGCGATGCAAGCTGAGAAGAAAGATTTGACAAGTGCTGCTCCCGTTCTGCCTAAACTCCAAAGCGGTGTGTTTCTAATGCAGACAGCTGAACTATCCACACATCTTCACCGAATTTGGAGTCCATCTTTGGTTTTGAGTGTATAGAGCAAGAGATATTAACTAAAGTTTCACTGGGGCCTGAATAGTCGTCATAGGAGACGGGACTTATGCTTACGGGTCAGTGTTCCTGAATGACAGAGGCAGTCATGTATGTTTAAATAAATCCCTGTGTGTGTGCTATGCGCGGGTCTGTGAAGAACAAGGCCCAGGATAGGGGCCTTTCTGGCCCAGATATAAGGGGAGCAGTGCTTTGTGATTTAATGCCTAGCAATTTAATAGCAATTTAATGCCTAGTTTATTTGCAGGGTGAACTAGATGGCTGAATTTCATTTCTTCAGCTCCGAGGACGATCTAGCCAGTCCGATGGCTTAGGGAACTGCAGCACGTCCCTCAGTTTGACTTTCTTCACAACATGGTACAAATGAGTGTTCAGAAGACTTTTTAAAAAAACAGAATAGCTAACATTAAAGTAGTAGGATGAACTCCCATTTCCGTCACCCAGCTCTAATATCAATTTATGGCTCTCCTTGTTTCATCAATACCCTTCCTCTGCCTCCCACCCTGTCCACAAATTACACTGGGCAAACCCTAGAAGTCTTGTCATTACATATATTTAAAATATATGCCAAGCATTTCTAAGATACATATTTCTTTTTTTGTTGTCTTTTTGAGGCAGGGTCTCGCTATGCAGTGCAGGCTGGTCTTGAGCTCATTTTGTAGCCCAGGCTGGCCTCGAACTCGCAATGATCCTCCTGCCTCAGCCTCCTGAGTGCTGGGATTACAGGCGGCGCCGCCACGCCCGGCTAAAATACGTATTTCTAAAACACATTCTAAAAAGATACAGCCACAATACTATTATCCAGCTGTTCCCTAGTCAACAAACTCGGTGTAAGATTTCTTCTATATGAAAGGCATTGCATGGCTTTTTTTTTTTTCTTTTGCGAATGGTGTTCTTTTAATGCGTTATGTCTGAAACCAAAGATCTGAGGACGTGTCACGCGCGTGAAGCTGCTCCAGCCACACCGAACCTATCTGTGGGGTCTGGCTTCAAGAACGGCGGTCTGGGACTCAGCTGACCCGGAGACCACGACGCGAGCCCCGTGGCGGAGAGCGATCCGGGGGTGCGGGCCCCGTTCCCGTCCACGCGGCCAGGGCGCCGGAGAAGCGCGGCCGCGCGGGTCCTGGAAGGCTCCGTGTCCCGCCCCGGGCCGCGCCCCGCCGGCCGGGCGTCCGCAGCTCCAGTACTCGCGGACGGCACGCTGGGCGTTTCCGCCTTTCCGGCCTCGGGGACCTTTGTTTTGCTTCTGGGCCCGGAGTCCAGGAAGGCACCCGGCTGACCAAAGGTTTCCCGGTCTCCTCGCGGTGGCCGGCAGCCAAGCTTCCCCAGCCCAGCGCCCACGCGGGTGCGCCGGCGACCCTCGAAGGCCGGCCGCACGGCCCCGCGGGCAGGACGCGTGGGCGGGGCCCCGTCGGCTTCGTCTCTGGCGCCCGAGGCCCCGCACCCGGCACGCACGGGCAGTTCCTCAGCGCCTTCTCGGAGACCCGGTCCCCCTCGTTCCCAAGAGAAAAACCAGCGCCGCAGCGCGGGACCGCTCCAGGGCGACCCACCCCGAGCGGAGCCGGGCGCATGCGCGCGCCCAGGCCGCGTCTAAGCGCTCGCCCCGCGGCGGCGGCCGCTAGGTGGCGCATGCGCCCTGGAGGGCGCGGGCCGATCTTTGAGAAGGCGGCGGCGGCGGCGGCGGCGGCGGCGCCGTGGGGGCCGGGTCCGTGTTTACACAGCGGCGGGCGGGTGCGGACGCGGAACCCGGCGCGACGGAGGCACGATGGTCATGGCGCATTTCGTCGAGAATTTTTGGGTAAGCGTAGGCTGCTGGAAGTGGGGTGGGTTTCGGAGTACGAGGCGTGCGGCGCCGGACCTCGGCCTGCGAGCGCTTCGGGCGGCGCCG